ACCGCAGCCTTGGTACCCCAAGACTCCACTGAAACCACCCTCAACCTTCTCGGGTGATAAGAAGGATGAGGCTCTCGACACTTGGTTGAGAACGGTGCCAGTGTGGGTGAGGACAAAGAGAACGCTGCTCGAGAAAGAGGTGATCACTGCTGCCTCCTATCTAGAGGGATCATAACAGTGGAAGCGTCACCATGCATGTTTTCAGAGATAGACTTGGGTTGCAGTGGACACGCTGTGAATGTACCTGTAAAGCATGGCTACCTTAGACCAGCGCAGCAAGAGCTTAAAGGACAAAGCAGCTGACATCACATACATTAGTAATTAATAATTACATGTTGAAGCAAAAGAATCTGAACTCTGGAGCTATCAGTGGGATTTACCAAGCAGGTAATCACTAAATAAATACTAAACAGTAGATTCTGACACTCTGACGCATGCATTGCAGAATTTGCAGTAGTAGTTTGTTTTCTTTTGTTTTGCTTCCGTTCTCTTTTTTTCCTAGAACTGCTGGGAGGTGGAGTGGATTGAAATTGGTTGGTTCTGGCCTTCCTTGTCTCAGTGGCCAGTGGGTCTATATACAAGCAGGGGGTTTACACCCAGGAGGTAGCCGGTGATACCCCCCAGGACCTTGTACCTACAGTACGCCTACTCGAGCTACTACAGGCAGTGTCTATTGACCCCTGTGCAATCAGACTCGCTATCTTTCACACTTCTCATGCATGCAAACAGGTGCGCAGCAAACTGGCGACAAGCGCCCACTGAGAACTCAGAGATATGGTAGCCGAGAATACAGTTCAGATACAAGTTCACTTCACTGGCTATGGCGACACAGTGCCCACACAACTCTCTGTCCGCACATACAGGATCACCCTGGATATCTCACACACGTTACTCTGTACACACGTACTCTGCACGCTATCTACAGCTATGGCGGCTATGGCCGCTGCTACCGTATTGCTATGGCTAAGCTTCTTCTCTCTCGCCCAATTCGTCCTCGGGCTCACTGCAGACCACCTCTCACAAGTCGCTGTGGCAGCGCTTCCACATGGCCCACGCAGGAATGCATGAATGGCTGGGCGCTGCCCTTTGATTTATACTTCTGCAGCTCGTTGGTCTGGCCCGTTCCCATGCCCGTAGTGCACACAGTCCCATGCGGTACTTGCTTGACTGGACTAGAACTGACTGGGACTGGGACTGCTGACTCAGCACGGGTAGACTCCACCACTTGCCCACTTGCCTCAGCCTAAACATGGGCAACTTTGAAAGGCCACTACTCGGACCTTCCGGAAGGCCGTAGATTTGGCCTTTCGATCCTGTAGCAGCTACGACCTTGACCTTTCGGGAGAACTACAGCTACGACTTCTAGACCCTGCTAGGACTCCTACCCGACAGGTCTACGGATCGAACCCCTACTGCCTACAGACCCTACGACAGTCTACCAACTGTTACAATACACAGGTCACAGGTTCAACTCTAGGGGTCGACACAGATACTATACACAGGTAAGGTGAGGACTAGGGATCGAGCCCTGGGATCTGCATCGGCTACTGCGAACTGGTGAATACCGTTTCACCTGCCAGGCGCAGGTCTAAACTATGACAGCCCAGAGATTCCCCTGAGTATGCCCACCCCGGCACAGCCATTCGTGGTCTATGCATATAGCATGTACTCTCTCTCTCTCTCTCTCTCTCTCTCTCTCTCTCTCTCTCTCTCTCTCTCTCTCTCTCTCTCTCTCTCTCTCTCTCTCTCTCT